TCATTGATACATCGATCAGATCAAGAATAGTCTTGGAAACTCAAATTAGATTTCTTATTTAAACATTATTAAAACAAACCTTCCTTGTTTTTGTAATTGTAATTCTCTTATACATTTTTTTAAAACAATATATAGTTAAATTTTGTGCTGCATACATAATAAATGCCATTATATATCTTGTAATTTGTAGATTAGCAAGACAGATCAAGATTTTCTTTTTTTTCTGAACTCTTTTACCGCGATTCTTTTTAAATAGTGATTTCCATGTTTATTATAATAATTTTATGTATAACTCTAAATGGAACACAAGAGATGTGAAACAGTTGGCTTGGAAAGGAAGTGACTTTTGGATAACGCTTGTGAGAGCACATTATTCAACTAACCTCGTACACATTTAGCATTCGCAATTTTACTGCACGCAGAGAATATGTTATTTACAGAAAAGTAAATTTACCTTCTTAACTGAGTTTTAACTATTATACTGGTTACACACACATCAAAGCTGAACTCTGACGAACTTGGTAACATGAGCGCCATCATATTTCTATCATTAAACGCGACAAAATAAATTCTACAAAAGTCTTAACGATCTTTAAAAATGTCAGGGATTTTAAAAGACGATTACCAACATAAGAGCAAGTGAAGTATCAAATACATCTGCCATTTACAGTTTGATAAATCGCGTTATAAATTCATAGCTTGTATTTTATATTATGGTATGTTGATCTTGCTAACATGTTATTATAGTAAATTTTTGTTTCACACATTTTCATATGTACATTTTAACAAATTAAAAGAAATCAAAATAAGAACTAAATCTTGATGTCAATATCGATATATTTTACTTAAGTATTTAAATGTAATCAGAAAAACCTCAGCTTTTGGGATTCCAAAACTTTGTTATTGGATGCGCTCCTACAAACATGGCAATTTGCCATTTTGATATTTGTATAACTCGAAAGAATAGAGAAACCTTCGTTTATCATTTTGAAAGAAACCGCTTTACAGAACGTAGACGTTTGAAATACGGGAAAGCATGAATCTTTCGGTTATTGGCTTGGTTAGTTGCCAGAAGTCAAAATTCGTTGCAGTTACATAATCATCTATATTCTGTAGACGGTAACATGTTTTCATCGGGATTGAACTTGGCCAAACTTCTCAATTTCAGTATCAAAGAAAAGACGCAGTTTCATTGTTACTATTGTGCTTACATCGTGTTCTCATTTGCATTTGTAATTGATCGTTTTATTTGGCAAATTAAAAAAATAATAATTTTACACATGTATTGTAAGGATACATATTTGACGGAAAATTTCGAATAAGCAAAAAATTTCATCGATAATTATACTTTCCATCAGTCAATGACCTGTAAATATATTCAATGATGAATACCAGCGCATAAATCAACTTACAAATTATCTGCCGTGGTTCCCAAGATCAAGAATAAATAGAGTAGCCAAAAGAGTATGAGGGCGAAGCCGCCAGCAAACAGTGCCACGTCTTCGGATCTGAAGTAACAGAATAACAGTACCGTGTACTGAATCACCGAGTCTGAATAGCAGTCTTCAGTGTTCCTCACCCACTCGCAACGTTCCGCGGCGGAAACTTGCCAAACGTACGAGCAATCATCCTGAAAAAAAGATTCGACGAGGAGCTCGACGCGAACGCAAACTCGGAAGAGAGACGTCGATAACAATTCACCTCCCGTATGGGCAGATGCCCATGTCTTAAAAAAGGGCTCGATATTCGCGACCTCATGTTCGAAGAGCATAAAAGCACAACGGAGCGATATGTAACCTATATTTTGTGTATTTGCCTTTCACGGATCCGCTCGATCGTTGCCTATTCAAGCAGAAGCGAGCGAAACTTCAAGCGATATAGACAGAAAGCTGTCACATACATAGCGCATACTATTCGCACAGTTCGAAACGTAAATTCAGTATGAAGCACACACATAAAGAGAATTCATAACAATGACACACATACACGTGCAAAATGAGACAGTCCGTGCATTGATTAATACAAGGAAATGTAACGAATGTCACAATAATCTTAGACAATGCTTTCCTTCTTTCGTTTCGTTTGCGAGACAATGCAAAAGACAATACTAAGCGTGCAATAACGCCAATTACAATTAACTTATTCAGATCTGATAATCTCAAGAACTTGTGTCAAATTAATTTTTAATTGCTATTAGACAGAATGTCGGCGCGCTGCAACATATCTTTCCTCATGAAAAGAAAAGATATAACGATCGTCGGTTTCTCTTGACAGCAGTTGAGTGCGCACTCAAGAATATCGCTACTCGACGACGACGTGAGACTGCGAACAGGTACACTCATCCGCACTTGTCTGATAGCAACGAGAGGCTCATTAGATGCAGAGCATCCGCTCTGTCCCATTTTTGTCCGCGACGAAACGATGAAAAAAAAAAAGAATAAAAGGTACGTTACATGTAACGAGCACGGAAGGAAACCTCTCCGCAAGCGGATACACTGTCATTCAGCGCGCGATATTATATCGACATTTATCCGATATTATTGTCAGTTTACGGATAATGAAAATTCAGTGACGTGTCGCAAACCGGCGACGTTAGTTCATTACATTTACTACGGCCAATCAAGAACTTTCACAGCTGTTATTAGTTTTGCACGAAAATATTCTGCAAACGTAGAGAACAATGCAAGAACTGATTATTTTAGAAATGCTCATTAAAAATAGTTCAACGGGTTAGAAACTGATTTTGTTAATGTACAATGTTTTACTTTCTCGGTATTTAAAACATTAAGGACGTGCGCGAACATTATATATTACATATACGTTATTAAAATGTATTAATGACTGAAAACGCATACTAAAATTTTTGAGTTTTCCAATGTTTCATCAGATATTCCTTTCGTTAAATTTAAACTTATATTAAAAGTGCTATCAGAGTACTAAAAAAATTACAAAAATTGCTGAAAACTCTTCATTTTAGATACAATTAGAGATCGTATGAGAAAGATTTAAGTCATTGTTTGAAATTAAAAATCGTGCCGCGTCAGACACGCGCTTTTTGTATTAATGCCTGAAAATTATAACTGCAGCTATTTTAGTATCATCGAGAAACCTTAGCTTTATAAATCTAGCTTATCAGATATACGCAACCGGTTTGCAAAAACGATAAATCAGCTGGATTGGACTCTCGAATAGTGTAACGAGAATTATAATAAATTGGGTTAAAGAGAGATTTGTTATTTTAAGCGTAAAATTGTTGAAGTTCCTCTAACGGCCACTTGACCGTGCAAATTACCCTGGGAAAAAATCATAGAGGGGATTCACGTTGACTTCTCTCTATCAGTCTATCTTCTATTGTTGCCTACTTCCTAACAACTTTCCATTAAGCCCACCTTTCAGCAGCAGCGTACTTTACCGTAATTGCCAACTTCAGCAAATTGTCATTTATCGCCAGACTTCTTTTGTGCTGCTTTCGCTCTAAACACTTTATTGAATTGCATTCACAGAGGGCACAAAGGAGCCAACGGCTTTACCCCAATTTATACTGCGCTTTTATTCTCCCTACGAGAGCCAGGCGCGCTCGCTTGGCTTTTCCGGTTTCCTGTTTTGGCTCTCTGTGCCGCCTGCACATTTATAATAAAGCGCGTGAGTGATATAAGGCTGGAATATGCAAAAGCTTCTTTCCGTAGTATAAGATGACTCTTACAATTAATGTAACGGCGTGCTGCCATTGTGTTACTGAAACCGAGTATGTGCGAGTGTACACACTCGGTTATGCTCGAGCCGTTTGCCGTGTGTTTTGGAGAATAATTCATGCTAGAGATAAAACAAAGGATCGTTGTAAATGTTGAAATAACGATGCAATTTATCTAAATTGAACATTAAACATCGACTGTTTAAAAAAAAAAGGAAAACAATTAATCTTTTTCATGGATATACGTATATGATTTTTGACAAGTCTGTTTTTAATACAAAAATAAACGTTATTGTCGAAATTTATTTAATTATTGTGCTAAACATATATGCCCAAAACTTCACGTCATACGGTTGCGTAGTCACACCGGTAAATACAATAGCATATGACGGCTCGTTTAATAATATCGTGCAAAAGAATGAATAAATCGCGTTTTGATATTTTTGTCGGTTGCACTATTCCGCTTCACTCGGGACGATTATTTATTCGAGATAAAAACTAAAAACGACGGATACATCGCGAACGCACAGATCGGCTTAGAAAAACTCAACTGATGATTCGAACGAATGTATTGCTCTCTAGTAATATAAAATATTCACTTTCTATCAAATACAACAAATTTAAATTGTGGTTTTTGGAAGATTTAATTCATTCGCGACGATTACAATTAAATGTAGAATCTCATTATAATTGCATTTTACAATGAGGAGGTTAAATTCTTTTGTACTTTGAATTTGTAGAAATTTAATTTTATCATCATCGTCCCTTCCACTGTATAAAAGCCGCGTCTCAGCTGTCTTAAGTCTTTGTCGAGCTATGTTAAGCTATATCAGGATTTCCAGTAACGAGGAAGAGGTTCAATTAATCTGAGATTACGGTCGTTCACCTGACAATTACCGACAGACTTCCAATAACTTGTTGCAACAGATGCTTGATAGGTCCTGCCTACTCATTGAAGCAGATGGTTTCGATAGGTGTCCGCGGTAACTTTTTCCCCTCTTTTACAAATTATTAAAGTTTTTAACACTTCAATCGATATGCACGGAAGATATCAAACGTATTATAAAATTACGAGAATTTTTAATAATTCACAACAATTTTAAACACGATAATCTATTATCTCCGAAATTTAACAAAGGATCTTCTAGAATTGAATTACAATAATAATAAATATTTTAATTCATTACAATAATAATATTTTAATTTATTGCAACAATAATATTTTAATAATTATATATAATTTATATACTTTTGCAACTTATTTAAAAATTTGTTTTTATAGAAATAAATATCTTGCATATTGCGTACACGTACAATTATTTTATTTTCTTGACATTGTCTTCGATAATGATGATTATTTTTTTCTTAGAGAACAATAGACTAAATAACTTACAAATTAACCAGAGTGCAAAAACTATGATGGATATCATCATCAAAGCAACATCCAATAGTAAATACTCATACCACGTTAACTCTATAGCAGCTGTCTTTAAAAAATTCGGATCGTGACGAATTGTGTGTTCTACCCAATATGTAGCTTCTTCTACTGGCGACATCAGACGATCTTTGAATTGAAAGGAGGCCTTTCGTGCCATTTCCGTGTAACTACAAAATATGCAAACTAATATTAATTAATAGTTTATTAATAGATATACACATATATACACACACTTCGTTAACAATTATTATGACATACAATAAACGAAATCTTTTGCTGAATTAAAATTATCCTTTAACAAACCTAAATTATAATTGTCAAGATATGTACATAATGTTAATACCTTGAAAAATACATGAGAATGTGACATTTTGATACATAATGCTTTATTTTGATTTTAAAAAAATATTATTCTCTGCATACCAATGTGTGATATAAAAATCTTCATTCTTTAAAACTCTACCTCTTGTTCGATAATATTTCATTTAAGCTGCTTGAGAAACGTTTGTACGAGAACTGCTGCAAATCCAATTGCAATGCCAGTCCCTTTTCTACGACATAGGCCATGTTTAAACGATGATCCCCAAAGACAGGTATTCCTAAGATCGGCACGCCGCAGTAAATTGCTTCCTGTAATCCGAGTAGCCCTCCGTGATAGATTAGCAGTCGCGTATTCGAATGACCTAAACATATTTAATATAAATATATTTACACAGAGGATTATTTATTATTTGTCGTGATATACATATTTACATCGTATTACAAACGAAGTCAAACAGGGATTGAATTTAACTGTTAACTTTTAGAAGTGAGAATTACTTGCACGTTTTTAACTTTCATCCTCTTTTTTTTATATTAATTTTAATTTTCTTCATATCCATTTTTGCCTTCACTAAATGAAACTTCATACTTAATACCAGTTCATGATTAATTAAAATTTTTAATAGTTTTCCTCAATCTTTTATCTCAAAGCAAAGAACATTACAAGTGGCAATGACTCTTGGATAGCGCATTTAAAATTAAGCGCAAAAATGAAGCCGTAATAACGGATAAAACGTAATAAGGATAACGAGGTTGATTGCATAATATAGCGAAAATGGAATTTCATGAAAAGCGTTGGTCACGCGGCGGCGGTGGTTTTTAGAGAAAAAACGGGTGAACCTGAAAATAATTTGTTCCCTTCAGGTGTATATGCGTGCGGCACCCCTCACAAAAAAATTTAAAAAAAAGCCAAGCGAATCGCGTGTTTCTGCGCTTGAATATAGATCGTATGAATTGTGCAGACGATATGTACAATATATGCCGCGGATACAGAAGCAATTATTTTTACCCGTTGCATTTCTAAAGCAATTGATTATCTACGAAATAATAAAAACGTTGTTGTGTGAAAGGCCATACGAGAAAATAAAATTGTACAATTGCCATCTAGAATCGCGTGGCAGTCATTAAGCGTTTTCTCCGATTCGGGAGAGGGAATATACGTATAAATGTTTACTTGTACAGAATATTTCGTACGCGGGATGATTCTGAAATATACGAGTATTGTGCTTTGCAGACATATTTTTCGATCGAGTTTAAATCCGATTGTTCTCTTTTTCTGATTTCGATCCGCCTCGTATGTATATCTTCGCAAAAACTTTATCTTCCTCGCGTATCCTAACAGACGCGTCATGTTACTTTAATAAGAACAAACGGTAAATTCATAATGGACATTAAAAGCCACTCAATATCCGTGCAAATTGACCTGCGGATTATTTAACGATAATGCAAAGTTCGAATGGGTTTTATGCCAGGGATCGCCAGATAATAATATCGTAATAAATAAATAATTTGCCCACCGGCAATACGCATTAATCTCTTTACGTAATGTAAATGTGGGATTTGCCGCTACCAAATACCACACGGCAATAGCACGATCGACGAGGGATTGGAGAGAGCAATCGATCTTACTGAAAAGTCTAAGTACCACAGAATAAAGGAAGCCTTATTCGCGCAAATTATGATAACTCTATCGCTTCTAAAAAATGTGCGATTTCTAACCAATCGCGATAAGAAAAGAAAACGAAATCAGAACACTTGAAAACTCTTTCTATCGACATCTACTCCATTACCTAAGAACTTGCTTGGTATATGCTACGTAGGAAGGGAGGGCGGGGGTGTGCTCTTTTCGTGACCTTCGCGGATAAGCTTCTTTCAACGTTTAATCCCCCGCGCAGAGAAACAAGAAAGCTATACGTACACAATACGGAGAGCTGTGGCGCCCACCCGATGCACTTAACGTTTCCCGGTAGCGGAGGCATTCTCTCTTTGGCGCACGTCCACAGTATTTGCTGCGGTACTTGCTCGAATGCTCGGTAAAGGGCGGCAAACACCTGGTTCGGTATAGTGGACGTGTCTATTTGCGATCCCAGACTAAAGTAAATAACGCCGTTTCTGCTCTGAGAGTCCAGATAATCCTGGAGATCCATGGGCAGTGGCTTCGGGCCCGATATCGGAATATGAATACCTCCGATTTCCTTAACTCCTGGCGCCAGAGGACGTGCCACGCTCACGGCCGGATGGCCGTTCGTCAGGATCAACGATATCCTGGACCGGAGAGCATCAAAGTCGGGCAAATCGTGCCCCAAGTACTTTCTCGCGACCTCATAACTCGATCGGTCGGAAAGTATTCTGCGGATTTAAAGTACTCGGTTAGCCGTTCGGCTGATATAATCATTCGACATTGATCGCATGACGTAAGTCAATACTATTTATTTAATAGACAGCATTTTAGAATTCGGCACATGTTTCGTGACAATAATCGATGTAATCATATTTGTCTATGTTTTTGTTATAAGCGTATATTTAGGAATGTGAAACAGTATATCAAATTATAACTGCGTTCGCAAGGAGCGTGCTATCAGTATTATTGTATTATTTAATCTATATCAGTCATTAAACGTAAAGCAAGGACAGAATAACGCAATTACGGTGATAGCATTGCACGCTCCTCGCGAACGCAGCCTATGTCAAAGACAGGTACATTATTATATAATATTCCGAAAAAGTATTTCTCAATAAGGCATTTATCCGCAAAATAATTATTAAGCTTATCATTCCGATAGCACTAAATGGAATTTCAAGCGAGATATATCATACTCCATTAAAAATGGTAATGTCGCTAGACATTAATTCCAAAATAGCAATTTTGGAGATGAATTTCGCGCATCTACTCCCTTACCTAAAACCCGAATTGACGATTAGTAGAAGCACCGTATTAAACGATCTTTCAAGTAAATTCATTCGCCCGGTGTACGAGCTGAAATAGTTAGGGATGTAACTTGGATTCTCAGGATTCCTTAACATAACATTCGTCCGCAATAATCCAGCAGAGCTGATAGCGCCGACTATTTTGGATATATTTAAAGCATGGGCGATACCCAAGAAGCAATCGCTAGCAAACATCTCGATCACAAGTAAATCAAAGTGTTCCTTCGCATTGATAATCCTCTTTATTTCTGGATGGCTCAATACGAACTCGCAAAATTCCGAGGACATGAAGCGTAGAATAGATTGCCATATCGTGATATTGATCAACGGTATAGTGTTGATTCGACTCGGCAAAGCGGACGAAACGTCCACGTCGGTGAAGTTGGCCAGGCGAATCCTCTGAGGGAAGTGCGTCACCGCGACAATCTCGTGACCTCTCGCAGAGAGTCTCTTCAGCAACGGCTCGAACACGATGTAGTGACTCTTCACGTTGAAGGGAAATATCGCCAGTATCCTGGCCCCATTGACCATACTGAGTAAACAGACGATCGTAACCAACGACGTCGTCGTAATCTTCATCGTATATCGATGTCAAGGGCACGTGTCGACTTTGAATAATTAATCTTTTTACACGCGAATTATTAATGTCAGAATTTTATTAAATCTATTAATTTTTTTAAATCTATTAATCATTTTTATGAAATAGAAAAATTTGTTATCCACAATCAATCACTGAAGTCTTTAATTTCTGAAAAACTTTCTCTTTTCTAGTTTTTATACTCTTTTCACGATAAACAATCCAATTGTTCTACTTCGACGTAGTTGTCTTAACATGTCACTGAAACGCTGACTAACGATAACTGCGTTATTCTTGTTTAAATAATGACGCCATTTGTTTATCAAACTAAATTAAAAAAGAAAGATAGCACCAAGGTTAACGAGACTATACAAAGTTATATACAAGGTGTCCGGTAATAACCGGATAATATCTCGTGGGCTGGTAGAGCAGATTAAACTAAACAGAC